GAGCATACAACTAGGAAAATAAAAATAAAAAACACACTGCCAAGGTCCATAAGTGAAGGTAAAGGGAAAAGGGAGGGTAAAAAACCGCGAGACAGGCACGACCGAGGACGCCAAGCCAAGCACACCGGCGCTATCTTGGTATTCCTCACTAGCCTAGACCTCCCTCCTTGACCTACTTTCTCCAGATCTTCTAGGGGAAGACCAAAGCATTCTTCTCTTCCATATTCAGCCAAGAGACATAATCTCTGACCCCCTCTAGGTCTACCATTAGGTCATTTGCCCAGTCTCCAGCTTCACTTTTTCTCCTTTCATGAATGAGACTAGGACATACTTGATCTTCTCTACTTGAGGCAAAAAACTCTTTCCTCACCCAGAATTGGTAATCCACACATTTCCAGCTAAAAAACCACACTATCTGTAAAATCAAATCTGATTTTTTTGGCCTTTGAAAAGAGCAGCAATATGGATCTAGACTGTGATAGTATAACAGAGAAGGAGGAGCTCATTCAGTCTATCAGGGTTTCAGTGAATCACTCACAAATCACACTGGCAATTAACTATACTTTGAAGGATTTAACGGAAACGTGATGCTGTAAGAATGTTTGAAATGTTTGTCTGATCCACAAGTGTCAGACTTCTGTTGATAACATGAGTTATTCTTCAAAAGTAAGGGGATAAACTTTTCTATGGATTAGTGGTGTGTGTAAAAGCAGCTGCAGCACTATTGCATGTATAACAGGGGTTCTGTCTAGACTCTGAAATCAATAACATAATAGGTGGCTGATGGTAGCTGCCAAAAAGTTAATATTCTGTAATAGAGAGATAATGTTGCTACATCCATTCAAGACTGGTCAATGAAAATTCATATTAATATTCTCTCTGTGCATTCCTTTAATGCTATATAGTAATAAGTCTGAAAGAGGAATAAATCAATTTCCCAGAAGTGTCTCATATAAACATGACATTTTTGTGAATCCAACTGTCACGCATAGAATAACCTTTTACTATAATTTTATATTTTTTACTACCACTACCACTTTGTGGCCAAATGTGAAAGGCTAGGCATACTAAATGCATAATAAACATAATAAAGTAAATGGCCGCTACAGAAAAAAAATATGGATAATAACACTAATTTATGCTGCTGTATGATATTTGTGCATGGTGGGGTGGTGGTTAGCATGGTCCTGAGTTTCCATCATCTGGCTGGGGGGTTTCTGTGTGGAGTTTACATGTTTTCCACATGTTTGCGTGGGTTCTATCCAAGTAATTCAGCTTCCTCCCAGTATACAGTCACTGGGGTTATCAATGACTCTAAAGTGCTCATAGGTGTGAATGGTTGTGTGTCTCTCTGTGTGTCCGCCTCTCGCCCTATGTTGGTCGGGAAAGGCTCCAGCCCCCTGTGACCCTGATAAGGATAAGTGGAATATAATGGATGGATGTGGAATATTTAGTTTTATCTAGAGGTGTTATTTAACACTGGGTACCTTTCATTAAGAGTTTTCTACCCATTGTTTGTTCTTTTTAAAATTGATTGAGCTTTCCCATATGGAAAAGATATATATAAATCTTATAAAGTTTGTATCTGTCTTGTGTGAAACTTGTATGAAAAGCATACAAGAGTGAAAACACATATAAGATCCCTTGAAAAATTATACAATGAAACTTGTATGTTTTGGATACTTACTAAAACAATATATGAAAGTAATGAGAGAGTGGCCACTTTCATGAATAAATCATATAAATTTTTACTATTTCTTTTCCATATGGGTTGGTATACATCAAAAAAAGTTATAAAATATAATCTTAGCACAAAATGTAAAATTTGCGTTTGGTTGATTATTTCTTTGTTGTAACAATGCTTCTTGGCAATAAGTCTTGCCCTGTTGGAAGGTCTGTTTAGTTTGCTACATTTGTAAAGAAACAGCAGAGCTGAGTATGTGGGGTGCTCCCATGAAAAAGGTTGCAAATCTCCTCTGCCAAAGCTAAACAGCCTATTTTGCTATTGACTGTTATTTGGTGTCATTTATTTGATTGGCCAATTGAAGTCAGAAGAAACAAAACATATTAACAATTTAACAATTTATACATTATACAGCCACAACAGCCTGGCACATCCTTCTCATACTGCTCACCACTTTGATCACACACTGTTGTGGGATGACATTCCATTCTTAAACCAGCATTTGTCACATGTCAGCCAGTGTGGTTGTGTTGGTCACCCTAACCAGAACAGCATGCACACGTTGATCCCACAAGTCTTGAGTGGAAATGGATCAGAACTGAGGGCAGACAATTCCATTTTTCAAATCTTTTGTCTGTATGATTGTAAAACTCTAACCAACATAAATAAATGATCACAATAAATCAGAGTTTGTGTCTGTGCAAGTTGCTGTGATCCTATGGTTTGGGACCACTTATGACAAAATTTGCAATGCCCTGGTAGACTGGAAAACTGCAGTGGTAATGTCTTGGAGATATTTGACTCCATTCGAGATATAATGACTCCATTCTGATCAATCTCCAGTTCTTTCTGTTGGTTCCTGAATCACCTGGCATATCTTCTCTCAATTTATCTTAATGTTGCACCTTCAGCCAATTGTTTTACCTGTCATGTGCTGGCCGTGTGAAGCAGACAGGAGAGGACCCAAGCGCAGACTCAAACACAAAAGGTAAACTCAAAAGCAACTTTTATTGCTGAACATCAGAAACTACAACACTAAGTAAACTTGGAAGGTACATGTAACTAAACAGACAGGTAGGCAAAACACAGCAGAGAACGAGGGTACGACACAGAGTAAGACCGGGCTTAAATACACAGAGGGATAACGAGGGAATGAGACACAGGAGGAGAGCACAGCTGGGAGTAATCAAACATGATGAGACCAAGCGGAAGCAAAACTGAAAACATTAACATAGGACAAGAACTACCAAAGTAAAACAGAGAGACAGTTTACAAAGACGCAGACTAGACACTAAGACATGGAAACCTGACAGACCTCGGAACAGAGGATGAAGCACAGAGACGGGAGTAACAAACTGGTCTGCATTGGAGCATCATATCTTTATTCTCTTCCCCCTCCTGCCCCCCCCCCCCTCTTTCTTAAATAGATAACTATCATATCTGATATCATATCTCACAGTACAATAATATTGAATGGGTTGCATTGTTGTATTTTGTCAT